AAACTTAGATCAAGCATTGGAAAACTCTGGAGGACCAAAGGAGCAATAAAGAGAAGTATATGGAGTTTGCGTAATGAAGACTAGGTCCAATGATATACAAACCTACAAGTATCCACAAGTAGAGCCTAAGAGAAGTCCAATGGAGAAAGACTCGGTCCAAGCAAAAGCAAAAACCAGCGGCGACCTAACAACTAGTACAACCACCACCCATGGAAACCTAGACAAAATGCAATTAAATCTTCAGGAGAGGTTATCCATGTTCTATGAAGACCATCCCAATAAGAAAAGGGCGCGGAGGTAGGGAAGAAGCCCAACCCAAATAGAGCTATAGCCTTACTCTTTCCCCAAGTACAAGAGAATCTGAATCATAGAGATGTTAGGAAGCTTCTAGCTGAGTTTTAAGAGAAAACTCCAAATTTCCCCCCTCTCTCTTGTACAATAATAAATAGGTGCTTAGACTTCAGTTATAAAAACATATTTTAGACTCCAAAATAGCTGAAGCTCTCTTGGCCAAAGAAGTAGAGCCAAGCAAGGAGCAAAGAGGAAGGCACCTACGTCGAAAGGGAGAAGGAGAGGAGCAAGAAGGTCGTTTCAACGGTGCCCCATTTTTTGAAGGTAGCATAAATGGTGTGAAGGGAGGAGAGAATTGGTGATGCCCTACTCGCAAGGAAGCTCGATGTGTTGAAGCATCCATCGAAGAGCAGCTATGATGCCATACTAGAAGCGGTCCCAATCATAATGCGTTCCTGAAGCTGCACCTATTCCTGATTTTCAAAAGGTGTGATCATCATTGGAAGAAGACCGTAACATTGATGAAGAAGCAATCACTATCTCAAGGAGAGCTCGACTAGACCAGCCTACTAAAGTACAATGGATGGGGGAGTTCTCTTCTCAAGGGACTCAATGCGGTCGGCCTACAAACCCTATTATGCATCAAAGGGGGCTTCAATGAGATCCTTTTGAAGGAGTTCCTAGCGTCTTTCACCACCCACTTCTCACCAAATAATGGAGATGAATAATGCATCGAGTACCTAGTTGGAGGAATGTGCCACAAAGATAGCAACACCTCACTAGCTCAAAAGCTTGGCTACAAGACTGTAACATCTCGATTGTTGGGTTAAGGTTCAACCTAATATTAGTATATGGTTTGATGCAATGGTTACATACGAGACTTCTAAACCAAACCAAACCAATCCCTAAACGAATCATAGTTGGATCAAGCAATTAACTCTTAGCAGGACCGTTTAATTGATGGTTATTATATAGCCACAGTAATAGACTAATTGGAGCAAGTATAGTGTCCCATTAACCTCTTTAATTGGGGGCATTTGTAGTGATTCCGTTACTTCCACAGAGCCGTCTATAGAATGAGATTATAAGTTGCACCATATCAAGGAAGAGGGAAGCTATCATTGAGGGGAAACTGTTGAAGTGTCAAACTAGACATAAATTATTCTTTTGGTACCTTTTGGTAATTGTGCTTAAGAGTCCCTAATTGCCCTAGGTTAATCGGTTGAGGGGCATTATAAGGGTAACATCTCGGCAGCCATTGTAACACAAGAACAACTGATTTCTATTCGGCTTGTCATAGTGAAACCATATCTGTCAGCTCTGCTCTCTATGGATTAGTCCCGTTAATCGGGGATACCACGTAAATCGCTGTCTTCTTTACTTCCGCAATCGCTATATTTTACATGGTATCAGAGCTATGAACAATCTATCTACTTCAATTATGTCGACTGGAGAAGCTAAGGTGAGCAACCCTAGCGGCGCTCTCACTAGCGCTGATTCGGCTATTCCAGTCACCTCTCCTCTGTATCTCCATCCCTCAGAGAACCCTGGTCAATTATTTGGGAGCGACCTCTTAACCGATCTCAATTATGGCGAATGGGTCAACGACATGACCGAGACCTTGATCACCAAGAACAAGTTAGCTTTCGTCGATGGTTCCTTGGCACGATCCGCGGCTAGTACTGGTATGCGCGCAGATGCTTGGGATCGTTGCGATGCGATGATTAAAGGCTGGCTGAAAACCGGGATGAGCAAAGAGGTGCGCAACAGTGTATGCGGGGCTCGACCGACACGAGAAATCTGGCCCGATCTTCGCCGGCGGTTTGGAACGAGCTCTGCTACGCGCCCCTACGAGCTGCGCTGTCATCTTGCCTCTCTTCGACAGGAGAAACTTTCTGTTTCCGCATTTTATACAAAGCTCCAGACTGCTTGGGACGAACTTCAAACCATCAGCATCAACGCACGTTGTAGTTGTGGCGGTTGCTCTTGTGATATTACTCGGCAGACCCGCGAGAAGCTGGAAATGGAGAGGCTCTTTGAGTTTTTACTTGGCCTTGATGATGTTTTTGCTGTGGTACGCTCACAAATCCTCAGCATGAAGCCCATACCATCCCTTGCTGAGGCGTACCAATTGGTGGCAGGGGAGGAACAACAAAAGCAGCTCACTGCTGGGCGGCGTCCCAATGTTGAGTCGCCCGCTTTCCAGACGCACGAAGAGGATGCCAAGCCAGCTGCTTCCTCCGTCAAGTCTCCCCGTTGCAGTCACTGCCACAAGCTTGGCCATACCAAGGACATGTGCTATCCCCTAATTGGTTTTCCCGCTAACTATGGCAAAGGAAAACAAGGGGAGCAGCCTCCTAATGTTTGCAAGCAGCAGAACGAGACCGGGCCGCGTGCAGCCCATGTTGACGGGGACGACAGCCCCATTCCAGGACTGACCGGGACTCAATTTACTCATTTAAAGCAATTTTTCAGCTCGCCTGTACCTATTCCTGACCCCACGACGCACATGGCGGGTAATAATACTGATCCTTACGAATGGCTTTTGATTCAGGATGCAATGAACACATTGTTAGGGATGCTAGTTGGCTTACCGGGTTAGATACTAGTGGTGCTTATTCCTCGGTTCAAATTCCTAATGGTCGATGCATACCTGTCAAGGGCATTGTTTCTGTGGTAGTGAATGATCGTCTCACATTACGCCGTGTCCTTCATGTCCCTGAGTTCAAATGCAATCTGCTGTTTGTTAGCCGTCTTGTTCAGGATCATGATATAGTCTTACTATTCTTGGCTGATTTATGTCTTCTTCAGGACTCACGTTCCAAGACAGTGATTGGACTGGGTCGCCTCCATGACGGTCTTTATTATCTGCAGCGAGGGCGAGTGGGCACTTCTTGTCCTAGACATGCTGTGAAAGCTCTCGCCGCCTGCCGAGATGAGGACCTCTTGTGGCACCAGCGCCTCGGACATCCTTCTTTCGAGAAACATTCCCATTAGTGTGATGTTTTGGGACTCAAAACTTTTGGTTTGGTTAAGTCGCATTGTGACTTTTGTTTGCAAGCAAAACAAACGCGTATTGTTTTCCCTTCAAGCTCTATCACGACTCAGGGTTGTTTTGAGTTGATCCATGTGGATATTTGGGGTGGCTATCAGACCCCTTCTATGGATGGTTCTAGATTTTTCTTGACTATCGTTGATGATTTTAGCATAGCTACTTGGGTTTATCTGCTCAAGTATAAATCCGATGTCGAGCAGTATCTTCGTTCCTTTTGTCAGATGGTTCTTACTCAGTTCAAGAAACAGGTACAGAGAATACAGGCTGACAATGGCATGGAGTTTCAGACCAATTCTCTTCGGGAATATTATGCAGATCATGGGATCCTTCTTCAAACCTCCTGTGTTAACACCCCACAGCAGAATGGGTTGGTTAAATGAAAACATCGTCACCTACTAGATACTTCCAGGGCCCTTCGGTTTCATGCAGGTCTTCCAGTTCGTTTTTGGGGAGAATGTGTCTTGACTGCCAGTTACCTGATTAATCGATTACCGTCCACAATTTTGAACAATAAAACCCCATTCGAGGTTTTGCTCAATCGGGTTCCTGTTTATGCTCACCTTCGAGATTTTGGCTGCTTGGTATACGCCAAGGACACCCGCTCGGGACTGGATAAATTTGCCGAACGTGGTCGGCGTGGCGTCTTTGTTAGTTATCATCATTCACAGAAGGGCTACCGTTTTTATGACCTCTTATCTCGCTGGATTTACACATCTAGGGACGTTCATTTTGGTGAAGAAGACTTCCCTTTTCGGCCATCCATCCCTTCCTCGGATCCGCCGTCTGCTCTTTCCCCAATTCCAGTTGAGGGGGTGTTGTATCCTTTGGTGGATTCTTAGTTACACACGACAGACGATGTTCACACCAGCTTCGACGTGGGTGATACTCCCCTGCCTCATTTGCATGGCGTGCATGGCTCGCCCTTCGGAGATTCTTCTGGTCCCACGCCTCCTGCCTCACCAAACGCGGCGCCTGCCTCACCGGACGCGGTCCTGTCCTCGCCGCCTGCTCCTCGTCGTGGTCTTCGTGATGCCATTGACTGCAAATGGGTTTTCAAAATCAAGTATAATCCTGATGGTTCGGTAGAACGCTTCAAAGCTCGACTCGTGACTAAAGGATTTACTCAGATAGAAGGAGTAGACTTTCACGACACCTTCACCCCTGTCGCCAAGCTTGTCACTGTTTGTGTTCTCCTCGCGGTGGCGGTTAGCAAAGGTTGCCATCTTCACCAGCTCGATGTTAACAACGCATTTCTCCATGGCAATCTTGAGGAAGAGGTTTACATGAAAGTTCCTGTTGGTTTCGCCGAGAAAGTTGATACTCGTGTTTGCCGGTTGAGGTAGTCTCTTTATGGTCTGCGCCAGGCCTCGCGGAATTGGTACAATAAATTCACATAGGCGCTCGCTGACTTGGTTTTTGTTCCATCCCGTGCTGATCATTCTCTACTTCTGTATCGTCGAGGTGCCTCGTTTGTAGCGGTTCTCATTTATGTCGACGATGTTTTCCTCACAGGTAATGACGTTGCTTTCATCTCTCGTCAAGTCATTTCTTCATGCTTAGTTCAGTATCAAAGATCTTGGCCCTATCAAGTATTTTTTGGGCATCGAAGTTGCTCGGTCTCCCGCACGTGCTGTCCTTAATCAGCGTAAGTACACGCTTGATATTCTTCATGATGCTGGGATCGTTGCTGCTCGTCCCAGTCAGTTTCCCATGGAACAAAACCACACCCTCACGCGTCTCAGTTCAGTCGATGATGAGCCAGCCGCAACTATTGATTCTAGCACTTAACGCCGCTTGGTCGGACGCCTCATGTACCTTACGGTCACCCGCCTGGACATTACCTATGTTGTTAACATCTTGAACCAGTTTGTTCATGCTCCGCGGCCTGAGCATGTTGATGCTGCCCATCGTGTGCTGCGTTATCTCAAGACTTCTCAAGGTCAGGGCCTTTTCTTTCCTTCTGATAGTTCCTTGACGTTGACAGCCTACTGTGATGCAGATTGGGGCGGTTGCCAGACTACACGTCGGTCCACGACTAGTTATCTTGTTAAGCTGGGTTATGCTTCTATTTCCTGGCGCACGAAGAAGCAGCGTGTTCTTGCTCGTGCCTCTGCCGAGGCGGAATACCTCGCCATGGCAAGTGTCGTCAGTGAAGTCGTCTGGCTGCGGTTCCTCCTCAGTGAGCTTGGCGTACCTCAGTCGACGCCCACGCCTCTTTACTGCGACAATCAGGCTGCTCTTTATATCGCAGCTAATCCAGTCTTTCAAGAACGCACTAAGTATGTGGAGATGGATTGTCCTTTCGTTCGTGAGCGTGTCGTCACTGGCAAGATTGAGCCGCTGAAGATTGCTTCCTCCTCTTAGTTAGCGGATATCTTCACCAAGGCCTGGGGTGCGGATCCCTTTCATTCTCTGTTGTTCAAGCTGGGCATTTGTGACCTTCATGCCTCAGCTTGAGGTTGAGTGTTGAATTGTTAAACTAGACATTATTTATTCTTTTGGTACCTTTTGGTAATTGTGCTTAAGAGTCCCTAATTGCCCTAGGTTAATCGGTTGAGGGGCATTATAAGGGTAACATCTCGGCAGCCATTGTAACACAAGAACAACTGATTTCTATTCGGCTTGTCGTAGTGAAACCCTATCTGAGAGCTCTGCTCTCCGTGGATTAGTCCCGTTAACCAGGGATACTACGTAAATCGCTGTCTTCTTTACTTCCGCAATCGCTATATTTTACAGAAACGGAAGCGATTAAGGCATCAGCGAGGGAGAGGTCGCGAGAAACCAAAAAGAAGGAAAGAGAGAGAGAGAGTCTGTAACACCCTACCCTATACGTATTACCTAATCATATTGTTCATACAATTGCAGCGGAAATAATCTCGGGTGTTACATTAATTATCAAAATTTACCCAAATAAAATTTCGACATGAATTACTCGCGTAATGGGCTAACAGTTCTTGCAACTTATCCTGCAAAATAATTCATCACAAACATATATACTCACAACCATATGCATTGGCTTTTCTTAGCCATAGTCACACTTTCATACTACACAACTGCATACTATACTGATACAAGCCATAATCGTCACAACTTACACAGTTACACAAATATACACATATCATCAACTTTCCACACCTGTGGATATCTCACACTATATCAGAAGCTAGTATGCACATGAAAAACGTTCTGAAAACATTTTTTACAAATAGGTGTGGATCACTGGCCAAAATCCCGAGTAGTAGTCCAAGCACAGAATAGTTGAAGACCATACCTCATCCTGCCTTCAACTCTTGCTCAGCTCTCACCTATACACCTATCTACTGCTGCTGCTGATGATCTGCTTACACATAGCATAAGCAGAGAAGAAGAATAAAAGAGGGTCAGCTCATAGCTGAGTGAGATAATCATAGCATCGTGAGTTCATAACAGAGCATACCCCTACCATACATCTAGCAAACAAGCCAAAACACTAGGATCGGACCTCAGCCATCCTCATATCCCAATAAGCAAAAGACTCAACCACTTTGACTTATGCATATGCATCTTATCATGTTTTAATCATAGGCGCCTGGCTACTCCCATGCTAATAACTCTCCCGGGAAACATACCCCACATCCCGTCGGATGTAGTCATAGATACCCCAACATCCCGTCGGATGTGGTCATACATACCCCACACCACTATGGGTGTAGTCATACCCCGACACCGCTCTGGGTGTGGTCATATCTCGTAAGGATTCTTCAGTCACCACCACATGAGAGGTGTGACTATCATACATATCATAATAGAGTAATAGCATAGGGAGCCCTAATTACTATGTAGTTGACCGTGAGACCACAACACTCATATTTGGTATCCTTATACATGATTCATATCTCATCTTGCTTAATCATAATTCGTTACTTGCACATGTACTTGACCAGGCCACAATTGGCTCAACATAGGTAAATCAGGAGTCGTATAATTGCACTTCCTCGGGATAAACCCTCGTGCAAGTCATCCTCCTTAAAACATCATAATATCACCTTGGGAAGTTTATTCCCCCACTTATGGATCCAAATACAACCATAATATCACACCATGTCAAAACCCCTTATCGAACAACCATGAAGTCATATCAACAGTTAAGCCACAAATGGCAACATGTATGCAATCATCCACATAAACAAGGTTCATATCCATTAGGGCAAGTCAATAATATCATACAGCAGTCAAGGGTTCATCATATAGCACAAAATTCCATACACCCCTAATCATGCCATTCTAGTTCACCTAGGTCAATTCTAAGCATCAATATAATTATCGTGATACGACAAACCCGGTATGCCGTGCTAATCCCTCACCAGTTCTGGTCGTTCAAACACCGGTTCTAGCCTCCCGTACTAAAACATCAATTTCACGAACGAACCCCGAATTAAAATCTGAGACCGTCCTAATATCCCCTGCAGTATCCCCGTCAATATTAGTTCTAGGCTCCGGGTCAAATTCTTGATAAAAACACATCAAACCCTGGCCGGAGCTAAATTCAGCGGTTTGGACCCCGGCCTAAATAATAGCCGAAATTCAGGGATTAGAACTAGAGGATTGATTACCTCGCTGCAGGAAGCTCGTATATGAAATTTGGGCTCAATCCGACTTCGGGATACTCCGAAACCCTAATTTGGCTTATTGGGAATTCAAGAAATTCCTGAACCAAAAACTCGTTTTAAAGCTCTAAATCGATAAATCACGATGTATAGATGAATTAGGCATTACTTACGGGATTTTTGGATCACTAGGGCTCCAGAATTTGAGCTTTGAAATTTTGGGTCGAGAGCTCCGCGCGTGCTCTGTTTCTCTCGTTTTCTCTCGGTTGAGAATTGGAAACGATGAGATGTGAATTGTGGAATGAAAAGGGACGGTGGAATTATATATATGGCCCGTCCACTTTTATGTAATATATATATATATATATAAAATTAATACGTATACTTATCCGATCGATCGATAATCCGATTTTCGTCGAAATAGTGTCGAAATGTTCGATTTTAAATCATGAACTTTCTAGCGATCGAAATATGGGTTTTGCAAAACGGGATGTTACAGAGTCCTCGATGGTGTTAAAGTTTATGTGACGGCACTGATCGGACGCGATGGTGCTTTGGTGGCGGTGGCCGTCAGAGCTTGAAGCAATGGGCTGTGAATTGATGGAGCAACGCGATTCGATGGGAGATAGAGGGCGAGACCCATGTGTAATTCACTAATTCTAAAACCATCAGGTAAATGGAATAAGGTAAGGAAGCATCGAGGAAAAACAACTGCTTTTGTTCGTACCTAGTTTGCATAATAATCGGCGTAATTATTCCAAAGGGTTGAAGACGAACGCCACCACGCAGTGAAGATGGAAGGAGGATCGAGTAAACGTTGTGTGGCGTTGCACGAGTAGCTACTGCGGAAAGTATGATGTTGGGAAGCTTCATCACCGGTGCCGAGGAGCTTGGCACGAGGTAAGGATCACCATTATCTCACCATTTGTCTCGCATAATAACATGGTACGGATAATTGAATACCCACGGTTGAAAGAAGATTAGTTGGAGGGTATAGGATTAGGACACAGTTACAGGTGGCACATGTTAAATGAGAAAGTGGCACTTTTCATTTAAAGCTTGGAGGGATGTCGTATTAGGGGAGTAGATCATGTGAGTAACCTTGTGGTGAGTAACCTCATGCATAATCCAATAAAAATCTGCCACATCAGCGCCTCCTTCTCTCTCTTGTAAAAATCATTAATTTTCTTTCCCGTAATCTTTAACGGATGATTTTTCACTCGTTTAACTAGGAATTTAATTCTTTTTTCACAGTTAGATAAGATTAATTGTGCTCTTCAAAATGATATCCACCTTGATATTTTTTGGAACAAAAAAAATGTGCCAGTTATTCCCAGTCAATACCATATGGTATTGACTGGTATTAAATAACAACATACCATATGGTATGAAAAATACCACCTCATGCCAGGGTGGTATAGTATGGTATAGAGTTGGTAACAATTCAAAATGATATCCACTTTGATATTTTTTGGAACAAAAATAAATTTGCCAGTTATTACCAGTCAATACCATATTTGCCAGTTATTACCAGTCAATACCATATGGTATTGCCTGGTATTAAATAACAGCATACCATATGGTATGAAAAAACCACCTCATACCAGGGTGGTATAGTATGGTATGGAGTTGGTAACGAGAGGTATGGAATTTTTTCCCCCAGAAAAATTTGAAATCCAATAGATCAATGACTAAATCGTTCCTTTTGTGCAAAAATTTCCGAAAATGACTAAACAACGAAGGAGATACCATATGGTATGGAGTTGGTAACGAGAGGGATGGAAAATGTTTTTCTCAAAAAATATTGAAAATGGATATCATTTTGTAGAGCACAACGAACTCGTTCCATCTGTGCGAAAAAAATTGAAATCCGAGTTAGAATGAAGAAGATATGATCCAATTAAGAAAACTAGGGAAAATAAATTTTATTAATTCTCCACCCTTAGATCTGCAGCCACTTAAAAAAAAGGGTCCAGATTTGGTTACTCATTGTTACTCACCCTAAGGTTACTCATTCTAACTCGTATTTCAATTTTTTTTGAAATCTTGGGCTGCATCCATTGGTAATGGGCACGTTGATAGCTAGTGGTTGAGGGTGACACGAGGGGAGAATTAAATAAGAAAGTAGGAGTCACAGAGCTAATGAACTAATTTGCGGCATATTTTATTCATAAAACTCTTACTAAGAGTCGATAATTAACTAACGCAGTTTCCAAAGACGAGGCCAAGCGGTGGCACACCACGACCAAGGAATCGAATTAGTTGATAGGGTAATTCGAGTCAGGCAGGTGAGTGTAAATGGGGTAAATTCCACGCCTTACGTATTTTTAAGTATTTATCTTATGAGTGTTAAGTATTTTGTGAAGTGGCCCCTATGGTTGTTTGTGCTTATGTTTGATGATATGTGATTTTGTTTGAGCTATGATTGGAAGTGAATGTTTATGAGTTATTGTTAAAGTTTAAGAACAAGTCCTTTTTAAGCCATAGTACACCTTCTAAGAAGGTGAAATAGTTTAAAGTATTTTTAGTCACTAGCGTCATTTCGTTACCGTTTGAGACTTTTAAGATAGAGCAGCAGTTATGCTCTTAAGACTTTTAAGATTAGCAGCAGTTGTGCTCTTGAGATTTTTAAGTTGAGCAGCTGTTATGCTCTTGAGAATCGTGGTGCACCGCGATAAGTTTAAGGAAAGCCTGGATGGTTTCTTATACATATGAGTTGGCAACTAGACTAGCTAGTGAGTGGTCCCCGGTATCAGTCAAAAGATTTCAGTTGAGATTTGAGTTTTAAAAATGGATAATAACTTTTTCCCCTTCCAACAAGGAATAAAGATAATAGTTAATTAGAAAAAACTCATTTTCCAACACCCAACTAAAAGCACGGCCCCCTTTTGTTTTCCAGTAAACGGTGTCGTTTCCGGTGGCGTGGTGCCGTGGTACCACTGAGCTTCCTTGCGGTACCGTTTTTTGTTTCGAGGTATCGTTTTAACTTACCGCGATACCGCTTGTCCAGTGCCGTTTTTAGCCAAGCGACACCGTTTCCCAGTCTCGCGATGCCGTTGAGCTTTGAGGTTCGCGGCACCGTTTTATCTCTTCGCAGCATTGCTTGACTTCAAACGGTGTTGTTACTCTCCTCCTCCGACAAGGAAAAATAAAATAAAAATATTCCTTGTCCAACAACAACACATGTCCTGCGCATGACTCACACATGGTCTGCAACCAATGTCGTTTCAAATACCGCGGTACCGCCGAACCTCTTCGGGGTCTTGCTTAAATTCTCCGCGGTATTGCTCGACTCCAAACGACATCGTTTTGGCCATGCGACATCGAATTAAATGCCGAGACT